CGAGTAGGAACCAACCCATAGCTGACCCTTTAGCGAGTTTCAAAGACAGTAAATCACTCAGGAGGAGATTGTCCAACTTTCTCCCATGGAGCAACTGGTGGATTTGAACTGCATACCTCTGGGACTGCAGTGAAGTTTCTTACCACTAGGCCACCAAAGCTCCATGCACGCATTAGTGTAGGGTATATTCCTAAGACAGAAATTGCCAGGTGGAGGGTATGTGTGTGCTCAATTTTGGGAGACGCCATCAGTCTTCTACAGTGACTGGCTGTCCTCATTAGCATGTGTCTGTCTCTGTCATTTAATAAAAACATACAGGGAGTATTGTTGTGGAATTCAGGAAAATTTTCTCTTCTTTCAGCAAGAGCCACAGAGAGCTGGTTAGTTCTTATGAGTGAGAATGAGAAAGTTGTAGCCCAAATGGTCAATTGCTAAGAGAAAGGCCCTAGACGACATCATCATGCTGCTGGACCATCTGACTCCATCCCTTGCCTCATTGTGTAGGTGGTTGCTGTTCTCTGTATCTGAAAGCAGCTTTGGTATTTTCGTGAAAGGCACTTCCATGGCATCACGTGAACCTCACAGCATCCTTGAGAAGGTGAGAGTTAACAGCTTCCCGTTCCCCACGTGGAAACTAGTCCAGCAGTGAAATGCAGTGATTCCCCAAAGCCAGGAGTAGAGCTGGGACTAGAATCTAAGTGCTCAGAACCGCTGTCCCCTCTCGCTCTCCCACCCACGCTGTGTCCCAGCAGGCAGCACCATCGTCATCTCTCATTTGCTAAAAAGGCCTGTGAGTCCTCTGAACACAGAGCTGCCAAATCACGTAGCGACCATGCAGCCCCTTGCGCCAGCGAAGGCAGTGAGCATTCACAGCTGTGCTCTGATTCACTCCACTCTGAGGAAGCTGCCAGCCACGTGAGGTGAATCCCAGCTTCTCTCGGAAAGAAGGCTGGCGCTTTCTTAGTCACTAATAACACAAATCACTAATGAACACATCAAGATGGTGAGGAGAGGAAGCAAAATCATAGTAGCAAGTTTACCTTCTAGTCAAGCGCAGGAGCCAAAACTATCAGAGTCCCCTGAAACTCGGCATCGCGCCCAGTTTCACAATGGTGCAAGCTCGTGAGAGAAAAATTCAGTGAAGCCGCTGAGGAGAGCTGAGTAACCTTAATCAGCTCACGGTAATGGAGTCAGTGATTCAACCTAACCGCTCTGCTGTTTGTTGTTAAGAACCGTCAAATTGGAACCAAGCCATAGCTGACCCTCCAGTGGGTTTTCAGAGGCTGTGAACCCCACAGGAGGAGACTGCCCATCTTGCCCTGTGAGCAGCTGGTGGGTTCAAACTGTGTACTTTCTGTTGGCAGCCCAAGCCCTTACCCCTAAGCCCCCTTAACTGCTCAGTGCACACCTAATACTGCACCACAGGGTGGCGATAAGTTAGAAACCACACCCTGGCAAAAGGTTTAATCTTTGATTTGGAAAGGTGCACATCATGTGGGTTTTTTCCTCTTTTTTTTAATTATTATTAATTTCAATGAAAATTTACAGAGACTTTGGATTTCCATTCATTCATTGTTGCACTTTTCTCCCTGCCCACCCTTCCCCCAGTTCACTCTTCTCTTTGAAAAGTAAAAGAAAAAAATGCACATTATGTTTTACCCTGTACACCTGTGTGCTATATAAAGCATGATGCAGCTGACTTGCTTTCACAGGAAGTGGCTGAAAGCCCTGGTAGTGTAGCCTGGTATGTACTGGGCTGATCACTGAAAGGGCATAAGTTCAAATCCACCAGCTGCTCTGAGGGATAAAGACGGGCAGTCTCCTTTCATAAGGATCTAAGGCCTTGGAAACCTGATGGAGGGTCATCGTGAGTTGGAAGTGGCTCGGTGGCAGGGGGGTTGGGTTGGTCTTCTAACCCTGGTGGAAGAGTCACCAGGACCCAACTCAACTAAGAACCTTTTCCAAACGCATACATGCCGTACGCCCTGTGTAAACTCCCTCACCCCACCCCAATGGCTGCACTGTTAATGCAATTCTTTCAATTCCTTAGGCTCATTTTTAAGATTCTTAAAGACTCAGCTTTGCCTCTGGCTGGTCACTGTGCCCCAGACACTAGGCCCCCATGTTGCCGGCCTCGGGGACCCTGCATGTGCCCGTCCTCTTCTAGAATGCCTCCCCATCACTGTTTAGTGAACTCTTCATTCTCCAGTTCTCCATCACACGCCCCCTTCTCACAGTCTCCTCTTGGCACCTTCACAAGAGTCTCTGAAGAGCACCCTGGGGGAGCTCTGGTGGCCTAGTGGTAAGAAGCTGCACTGCAATCCCAGAGATATGTGGTTCGAATCCACCAGATGCTCTGCCGGAGGAGGGGCCATCTCCTCCTGTACCAGTCAGATTCAATTTGATGATACACACACAGAAAATAAAAAAAAAGAGCACCCATCACTTCTTTTTCATGTCACCTACTTACTACCATGATTGAAATCGCGACAACTTATAAGAACTTGTTCACTGTGCAGCAGCCCCATGGCAGACAGTGGGGGCCCTGTCTGTCCTGCTCCCTCTGTGTCCCCAGAACCTAGAGAAATATGGAAGCACAGGAGATGCTCAGCAGCTATTAGCTGAATTAATGGGCAAATGAATAAAGAACAATCCAGGTGTGGATTAGCCATGACGGCTATTCTCTCCTTTGCCATTTGCATGGTGACCACTGCACTTGTCACCTCATCTGCCAGAGTAAGTTCCGAGGCAAATAAGATCTAGAGAGGAGCACCAGCTACAGTGATGGTAAATTAGTGGGAAAGGAGGTTGGAATATAGATTTTCAATTGTTTTTAAAAGAAAGTTCTAAAATTCCTTGTGGGTTCTTTCCCCGTGTTTCTCGCCTCGCGGGAGGCTGCATGATGGGGGATTAACTGAAGAGACTGCACCAGACGATTTCAGGATTGCATTAGAGGCAGGGAAGAAGGTCCCACTGTGATCCAGTGATTATGAGCTGAGCCACAGAGACTTCTCATTAGACTCCGAGAGGCTACCGGGCTCTTGAAAATGTTGGAGGATAAAGGCTGGCACAGGATAGGGCAGGGTTCAGGTGTGCTGTTCCCAGGATCACTACGCGTCATCCTTGACTCGACGGCACCAACGACACCACCATGTTCTTTCAGAGCCTGCATGCAACCCTACTCTTTGCTGTTGAGTCAGAACCTCTGACCCCCCAGCGGCTTTCCAAGGCTGTAAAACAACTAGGAGGAAATTGCTTGCTTTTCTCCAGAGGAGGCACTAGAAGATTCAAATTACCAGAGCAGCTCAGATTTTGGGTCAGTAGCACAGCTTCCGATGAACTAGGCCACCAGGGCTCCCATACCAACCAGCATGGGCCTGCCTGGCTTCCAAGGTCAGTGGACATGACCTTCATCAAGGCCTTTGGGAACATGTATGGAGAACTATTAAAACAGCAGGTCATACAAAAATAACAGTTCCCAGTTCAAAGCCACGAGCAGAATGGCAGATAGCACGAGAGTAAGTTAGTGAATCGTTAGGATCCTAGACTGGCAGAGGGGAGCTCTGGGATGGTGCTACAGACAAACACTTGACTGTTTTTAGTCAGAAAGGTTTACGTTCAAACCTACACAGAGGCACCTTGGAAGACAGACCTGGTATCCCCTTCTGATGGGCCACAGCTTTGAAAACCTTACGCACACGTGAGGTCACCATGACAGACCAGTTCAACCAACAACAGACACAGAAAGACCTTCTGCTTCAAACATGCCCTGTTAGAGATTCGGAGCTTTCTGGGAGAGTGTTCACAGGTAACTCTCTCAGAGTCACACTGCTATTTAGAAACAAAATCAATCTAGGTCCCCGGTAATAAAACCAAATCAGCCTAGATTCTGGGTCCCAGACTTCCTCTGGTCCTTTCACAGACCCAAGGCCTACAGGCACTGGCTATGGGGATGCCTTCCCACCAGACCCGCAGGGCACAGCCAGGAAGGGTACAGAACATCCCACTCTCCCTGATCGCACCTTGAGTCAGAAGAGGGTAACAGAAAGGAAACAAATACCCCAGAGGGTTTAAAATAGGTGGCTTCTCGCTGCATGGTCACCATGAGCCAGTTAGCCCCCTAACAGCTCCCTCTCCGAGATTCTTCCCAAAGCCCAGAGGCCAAGGAATCTGTAGTAGTAAAGGCCCAGGCCCTCTCCCTGATGCTGAGGACCAAACCGGGACTAGTCCAGCCCTGAGCAGAGACACGGGGGATGGGAGAGGCGCACGAGTGTGTGTGTGTGTGTGTGTGCGCGCGCGTGTGTGTAAGGTTCAAAGGAGCACCACGGGAGGAGGAGTCAGGAAGAGGGAGCGAAACGAGGATGAGAACCCTCAGGACCTTCCTCAGGTTCTGGGGAAGGAAAATGGCTCCTCACTTTACTCTCCGACCTGCCCTCGGCTAGAGAATGCGCAGCCACATCCACGCCTGGCGGCTTACCCCGGCTCCCTCCTGCGCCTGCTGCTTGCTGGGCTAGGGTGGACAGGGCGAGGGGAGGCAGCAGTCCCCCCACCGCCCTTCCCCTGGCACGACTCCCACCCCCCACCCTGGGAGCGCTCCTCCACTCTCTCTGCACCCCGCACCGCGCACACCTTGGCAAACGCCCCATCACCCCCATTCTGCACACCTGGGCAGCACAGCACTGTCCGCATCTCGACCCCCACACCAGCAGCACCCCCACTCCTTTGTGCCTCGCGGCATGCACTACAGAAGCGCCCCACCGCTTCCATCGCACCCGCACCCTAACAACACCCCCACCCCTCCCTAACAACACCCCCACCCCTCCTTACCCCACAGCGCGCCCCCAGCAATGGCCCCACCACCTCTACCCTAGCAGCACTTTTACCCCTAGCACCCCAGCAACACCCCACCCCTCCGTACCCCACGACACGCACCCCAGCAGCGCCCCCACTACCTGCAGCGCGCCCCACTCCCGCGCCCCCAGCATCCCGCGGGCCAGCACCTGTAGTAGCGGTCATCCTTGAAGGGCGTTAGGTCCTCGCGCAGCTCGCGGTACGCCTCCTGCAGCCGCCGGCACAGGTGCTTGAGCTCGCCGCAGAGCCGGGGCTCGAAGGCCGGGTCCTCGGCGTCCATGCCGCCCGTGGAGCCCGCCGCTCCCTCCGCCCAGCGCCGGCCTTTGTATTTCCGCGTCGCCCGCTCGCTCCAGGCCGCTCTCAATCCCGGGCGGCGGGCTCCAGGCCGCTCTCAATCCCCGGCGGCGGGCGCGCAGGGCCGGGGAGGGGAGGAGCTGGCGCAGGGGCGGGGAGCGCGGGTTGGGGTCCCCACGCTGCGCCCCGCCCTGGGAGCCACGCCTACGGCCACCGCCCAGGGGAAGATCCGGGTCGTCCTCTGCCTGGAACAGAATAGAAATGCGGCCTGCACCCCAGCGGAGCGGGAAATGGAGAGCGAGACCGCCAGGAGCCCTTGTCTGGAACGCTGAGCGCAGGACGCACGAGCGGATTCAGCACCATGGACAGCTTCCACTCACGCTTCTCTGGCTTCTGTTTGCTTTAATGCAAATCGGTTCCAAGCATCCTAATGCAAAAAGCTCTGGTGGCCTAGTGGTAAGGAGTTGCCATGCCGACCCAAAGGCACGCAGTTCAAAGCCATTAACTGCTCCCCCGGAAAAGGGTGGATAAAATCATGTCTCTGAAAACATGCGGGAGCATCAGCTATTAGTTGGTTTCAAAAACTACTCAAAAGCATGTAAAGAAGCCTGTTACAGTAGTCGTCATTGTTAGGTGCCGTCGAATGGAGTAAGACTCATAGCACCTCTATGAACAACAGATCTGAACCGTGGCGTATCCTGTGCCGTCTTCACAATCCTGACACACTCAAGCCCACTGATGCAGTCACTGTCAATCCATCCCTGACACACTCAAGCCCATTGATGCAGTCACTGTGTCAATCCATCTCGTTAGGGTCTTCTTCCCTTTCACGGATCCTTCACTTTTCCAAATATGATGCCCCTTTCCAAGGAACAGCCTCTTCCAGCAACATGTCCAAAGTATAAGAGATGAAGTTTTTCCATCTTTGCCTCCAAGGAGCACTCTGGCTGCACTTTCTCCAATATTTTTTTTTTCTTTTGGTGGTCCATGAGATATTTAGTACTCTTCTCAAACACCACAGCTCAAAAGCATCAATTATTCTTCTGTCATCCTTATCCACTGTCCAGCTCTCAGATGAATAGAGTGATCAGAAAACTCATAGCATAAATCAGACGCACCTTAGTCCCCAAACTGACATCACTGCTCTTAAAAAATTTGGAGAAGTCCCAATTTGGAGAAGTCCAGTGCAAATTTTCCCAGTGCAATATGTCTCTTGATTTCCTGACTGTTGGTATCAAGGGTGTTATTGTGGATCCAAGGAAAAGAAAATCTTTAACAGCTTCAATCTGTTTTCCATCTACTATGATGTTACCTATCGATTCAGTGGTAATAATTTTTGTTTTCTTTATGTTAAGATGCGATCCATACTGAAGGCTGTATTCTGTATTCTTTGATCTCCTGCAGCAAGTGCTTCAAGCCATACTTACTTTCAGCAAGCAAGGTTATGTCATCTGCATAACACAGGTTATTGATGAATCTCCCTCTGATCTTGATGCCATATTCTTCTTCACAGAGTGCAGCTTCTCAAATAATTTGCTAAACATACAGATTAAATAGGTATGGAGAAAATACCACCCTAACACAGTCCCTTCTCAATTTTAAGCCATGCAGTGTTCCCTTGGTCTGTTCACACACAGCCTCTTGATCTAGGTGTAGGTTTTTTACATGAACACAATTACATGCCCTGGGACTCCCATTCTTCTCAATGTCAGCCACAACTTGTTATGATCCACACAGTCAATGCCTTTGTGTATAAGCATAAGTAGACATTCTTCTGGTATTCTTTATTGTTAGGCAGGTTTCATCTGACATCAGCAATGATATCCATGGTGCCACAGCCTCTTCTAAATTCTGCTTGAACTTCTGAAAGTTCCCTATCTATGTACTGTTCTGGCTTCTTTTTAATAACCTTCAGCAGTATTTGCTTACATGTGACATTAATGATATTGTTCTATAGTTATCATAATCTGTTCTATCACCTTTCTTGAGAATGGAAACAAATATGGATCTCTTCCAGTCAATCTGTCAGATCACTGTGTTCCAAATTTCCTCTCAAAGAGTGGTGAGCGCATCCAGAGCATCATCTGTTAGTTGAAACACGTCAATCAGGGTCCCATCGATTCCTGGGACCTTATTTTTTTGCCAATGCTTTCAGCACAGCTTCAAGCTAGGTCATAATGAATATTCTTCTTTAAAGATAAAGGATGTGCCCGTGGGATGCCATGCCCACAGGATGAGGGAGTTGATAAAAACCAGTCTAGCCGAGGGAGTTCCTTACACTCCACAGAGCTCCACAGTAGGGTGTGAAAACTAAAGCTCTCACTGTAACACATCTCCCTCAGGATTGCTTCTCTGAAGGTGCAATCTCTGCTTGTTGATTCCCCCGATAAACGTGGAGAAACAGATGGTGTCTCAGTTTCTTTACACCTAACTTCAGGACAGCTCTCTGTGCTGGTTTGGCCTTGTGTACCCTGAGGAAACTTACAAACTCACATTTTTAACCTGAATTTTAGAATATGATCACCTAGAATCTGCATTTTTTCATTGCTTCTCAGGTGTGTATGAAGATCATCCAAGGATCAAGGCTCATAATTTCCATGCTTCCAGCTACTTTCACCTGTGATTCAGTTTCACCCATTCTTTCCTGCTTTTTTTTTAAATTGCAAGTTTATTTCTTCCTCATACATTTTCGATCAACTTTCTGTCTCTTAGTTGATCTCTCTTGTCAGACCCAGCATATCCTCCATTACATCAGGCCATCCTGTGCTGCACACAGCTAGGTTTCAGACTTAATACATTCGTGGAAGAATTTGTATTTCATCATCTCAGGAGGAGGGAAAATGGGGCACAGCATTGCCAATGCCTGGAGCACAGTGCAGAGAGGCAGACTCCAGAGAGCTCCATTAGTATGGGCACACACAGATGTTCATGTAATGAGAGAGAGACTGTGAGCCCAGCACGTGTCATAGCACAAACACCTTGTGATTGGCTAAAAAGAATATATAATTAGGAGGAATATTAGCTAACAGCAAGGATCCACAAGAACACTTAAAATCCTCCAGGAAGCCTTCCCTAATTTCTCCAGCCTTGGCTTTGCCTCACCCTTCAAACACAGCAGCCCCAGGAGGACAAAACAAGACATCTGTCACCAGCATTGCAGGCAACTAATGTCTTTCCTTACCTTTTCCATGATGAATAGTTAGTAATGCCTGAGAAAACATTTTATGTGCATGCATTCACACGGAGAAGATATAGATGTGTGCACAGTGACCCACATACTATACTACAATTCTTTTTCTACGTTTTATTTTCTCTGTTGTTCTTGTCAGGTGGCTTTGAGGTGGATCAGCATAGGGGCCTTATGCAAAGCAGAAAGAACTCTTGCCCAATCCTGTGCCGTCTTCAGGATCGCCACTGTGCTCAGGTTCTCTGTTGCAGCCACACCTCAGTTCATCACACTGAAGACAGGTCTTCCTCTCTTTTGCTTTCTCAAACATGGTGCTTTAAGAACTGGCCCCTCCTGACAGCATGGCCAAAGTATGGAAGGGGAAGTGTCACTATCATCAGCAAACTATCACTGACAGCTTCACTAGCAGTGTTCCCTAAGGAACACTCTGGCTACACTACTTCTAAGACAGATTTGTTTGTTCTTTTTGAAGGTCTATGGTATATTCAATATTCTTCACCAATGCCAAAACCTTAAGGAAGTCAATTCTTCCTCAGTCTTCCTTATTCACTGTTCACCTTTCATATGCATATGAAGCAATTGAAAACATCATGGCTTCAGTCAGTTGCACTATTTTCTTCACATACTTCCTCTTTGGTCCTTTAAAGAGTTCCTAGACAGCAGGTTTTCCCAATGCAATTCTTCATTTTCTTTCTTGATTACTATACCTATGGGTATTGACTGTGTATCCAGGTAAAAGGATAAAATTAATAACTTCGGTCTTTTCTCCATTCAGCATGATGTTTGTTGTACAGTTGCTAATTCCATGGAATTAATTTTTCTTTTCTTAAAATTCATCTTTCTTTATCACAGATTCAGCCACAAATTTTCCAATTGTCTTAAATTTTTTCATTTACTTTTTTGTGTGTGATTTGTACAAAACTTTAGGAAGCAAATTGTAGGTTGGATTTCCCCCCCCCCCCTTAGTCAGTCATGCCTATTTTGTTCCACAACATTATAAATACTTTATACAGAATGTATGCGCCCTTTTGTACCTGACTTATTTCACTCAGCATAATGGCCTCTTGACTCATCCAAGCTAAACCTTTAGCTGTTCAAGCATGGGAGTCCTATAGGATTCATCTATGATGAGGAAGCCTCTTCTGTGCTTTTGGACCAATTGTTGCACTCGTTCTTGGTGCATAGTTGTTGTGAAGAATTGAATTGTTTTCCCTCTCAAATATATATTGGAAACATAACCTGGGATGCGATTTCATCAGGAGCAAGATTTTCTTTATTATGTTAATGAGCCTACAACAGTATAGAACATGTCTTATGTTGTTGTTGTTAATGTGCCTTCGAGTCGCTTGCAACTCATAGCGACCCTATGTACAACAGCCCTAAACTCCGCTCTGTCCTGTGCCAATCGCACTGTCTCCGACACTCCCATCCCAATTATCCCAGTCACTGAATCAATCCACCTCATAGAGGGCCTTCCTCTCCTGCGCCGTCCCTCCACCCTCCCAAGCATGATGTCCTTCTCCAAGGACCGGTCTCTTCTCACAACATGTCCAAAGTATGTTAGACGGAGCCTCAGAATCCTTGCCTCCAAGGAGCCACCTGGTTTAACCCTTTCCAGGACAAATCCGTTTGTTTTCCTAGCAGTCCATGGTATTCTCAATACTCTTCTCCAGCACCACAGATCAAAGGCATCAATTCTCCTTCTATCCTCCTTGGTCATTGTCAACTCTCTGATGCATAACAAGCGATTGCAAAGACCATGGCCTGTATCAGACGCACCTTAGTCTCCAGAGAGACAC